TCAGTTCTAGTTCAGTTCTAGTTCAGTTCTAGTTCAGTTCTAGTTCAGTTCTAGTTCAGTTCTAGTTCAGTTCTAGTTCAGTTCTAGTTCAGTTCTAGTTCAGTTCTAGTTCAGTTCTAGTTCAGCTCTAGTTCAGTTCTAGTTCAGTTCTAGTTCAGTTCTAGTTCAGTTCTAGTTCAGTTCTAGTTCAGTTCTAGTTCAGTTCTAGTTCAGTTCTAGTTCAGTTCTAGTTCAGTTCTAGTTCAGTTCTAGTTCAGTTCTAGTTCAGTTCTAGTTCAGTTCTAGTTCAGTTCTAGTTCAGTTCTAGTTCAGTTCTAGTTCAGTTCTAGTTCAGTTCTAGTTCAGTTCTAGTTCAGTTCTAGTTCAGTTCTAGTTCAGTTCTAGTTCAGTTCTAGTTCAGTTCTAGTTCAGTTCTAGTTCAGTTCTAGTTCAGTTCTAGTTCAGTTCTAGTTCAGTTCTAGTTCAGTTCTAGTTCAGTTCTAGTTCAGTTCTAGTTCAGTTCTAGTTCAGTTCTAGTTCAGTTCTAGTTCAGTTCTAGTTCAGTTCTAGTTCAGTTCTAGTTCTTCTAGTTCAGTTCTAGTTCAGTTCTAGTTCAGTTTAGTTCAGTTCTAGTTCAGTTCTAGTTCAGTTCTAGTTCAGTTCTAGTTCAGTTCTAGTTCAGTTCTAGTTCAGTTCTAGTTCAGTTCTAGTTCAGTTCTAGTTCAGTTCTAGTTCAGTTCTAGTTCAGTTCTAGTTCAGTTCTAGTTCAGTTCTAGTTCAGTTCTAGTTCAGTTCTAGTTCAGTTCTAGTTCTCTAGTTCAGTTCTAGTTCAGTTCTAGTTCAGTTCTAGTTCAGTTCTAGTTCAGTTCTAGTTCAGTTCTAGTTCAGTTCTAGTTCAGTTCTAGTTCAGTTCTAGTTCAGTTCTAGTTCAGTTCTAGTTCAGTTCTAGTTCAGTTCTAGTTCAGTTCTAGTTCAGTTCTAGTTCAGTTCTAGTTCAGTTCTAGTTCAGTTCTAGTTCAGTTCTAGTTCAGTTCTAGTTCAGTTCTAGTTCAGTTCTAGTTCAGTTCTAGTTCAGTTCTAGTTCAGTTCTAGTTCAGTTCTAGTTCAGTTCTAGTTCAGTTCTAGTTCAGTCTAGTTCAGTTCTAGTTCAGTTCTAGTTCAGTTCTAGTTCAGTTCTAGTTCAGTTCTAGTTCAGTTCTAGTTCAGTTCTAGTTCAGTTCTAGTTCAGTTCTAGTTCAGTTCAAGTTCCGTTCTAGTCCAGTTCTAATATAGTTCAAGGCTCTACAGTAGTCTATCATGTAGACATAAATTTTTGTATCAGATTTTATTAAAATTTTACCTTCGCTTTAATATTAAATGAAATAATTTTTAATAATTTTTTTTATAGGAAAAACAATAAACTAACGATAGCTTTACAAATAAATGGCAGGGAACCTAACGGGGAACAAAGCGAAGAAAATGATACAATACAAGCTGGTAGCCAGGAAGACAATGAGTGCGAAACAATTAAATTAAAGGCGAAAATTAATGCGATTAATGATGATAAGATAATTAAAGAATTACCACTACAGAATACAATCTATGAAAATAGTTGTACTAATGCAGAAAGTGAAATGAAAAATCTGGAAGTTGTGAGGAATTATTAAACGAGAACAGCTCTACCATTGCCATTCATGAAGTCGAGATATCGCCAAACATGGAAAATGGTAATTTAGAATGCTCTTCTAATGATTGCGTGTGTTTTTGTAATGGTGAGGATGGTGCTCATCATGTATTGTCGATTGTGGAAAATGGATTCTTTAGTAATCATAGCAGTAGTGGTAATAAGGAATCTGATGATGATGACGAGAGAGATGGAGAGGATGATGAGGATATTCCAGATAATGGTGATGACTATGCAGCTGACGATATTGAAGAGAGTGACCTGCCAAATTATTCACGCAGCTGTGTGTATGAGGAACGTATAATAGATTTTGAAAATTTTCGCATAATCGAACAAGTTATCGATAATAATTGTGAGGGTAAACATACTGCCGCTAATAATGTGAAGTGCAGAAATGCTATAGAGTGTAAAGGTAATTTAAAGGAACAACTGGCAAATGTAACTGAAACTGAATCGAAGGAGACGGAGGAGGAAGCCAATGCCCAACTAGAATTACCTAGTGGCTCCCAAATATACAGGCTTCGACACCCATATATGTCAATCCTTCTTTAAATTTCTCCTGCTCTGAACTGGTGGCCTTTATTGGCGAAAGCTATCAAGTCATTGATAATGCTCAGGCGTTTTATAATAATGATAAAACGAGTAAACCTAAGAAGTCTACACAATTTAAAACGAAATCTGAATCCTGTTCGGTGGGTAATTCACCCTTTAAGCGTAGTAAACGTTCGGGTTTTGGTTCGGGAAATGCTTCGACATCCAATCGTAGTGTGGATGATAATAACAATACGGCGCGTGTTACGGGTATAACTGCAGCGGAACGTTTAATGCAAAGTTTAAATTGTGATGTATCGCGGGAATTGACTCAAACGAAACGTGTCGAAAAACGGGAAATTAAGACGAAAAGTAAACCCACGGTTAGTGTTAAAACAGCCACGCCTACCAAAACTCTTTTGAAGGCTTTAAAGTCTAAGTTGACACCTTTGGCACCGCCATTTCAGCCAGCAGCCAATAAAAGTAAAGAGGCCAAGCTTACAAGCGGAGCTTCCAGCTCAGCTACTTTAGTAAATTATGAGCAAACCACCATCTACTATCACCAGAATGCCCAACAGCAGCAGCAGCAGCAGCAGCAACAACAACAACAACAAATTTTGGCCAACAACATGTTGCAAGCTTTGTGCTTAAATACAGCAAATCAACAGCATCTATTGCAACAACAACAACAGGTGTCACCCTCACAACAACAACAGCAATTGTTTCTAGCTCAACAGCATCATCATTTGCAACTCCAACCGTCACCAGCACCACCACAACATCAGCATATTTTACAGACCCATAATCCCACTCATCCACAACATCACCATCAACAACACTGTGCTCAAAATATTTTGGCAATGTCTGCTGCCTCTTTAGCAGGTCAGGGTATGCCCCACATACACCTGCCAACTGCTGCCGCAGCTTCAGCAACAAATAATAATGGCAATTTATCATCAACGGCAACAGCTGCTACTGCTGTTATTAATGTGGCCGCAACAAATCCGGCCTCTCACCATCACCAGCATCACCATCTTCTACCGATACATTTAATATCGGCTGTTGGTAGTACAGGAGGTAGTGGTGGTGGTGTGACCTCCTGGCCTTTGCTAGAACCTAACAATTCAGCCAGTAACAATGCTACAGCCACAGTTACAACAACACCCATTTATATGGATTTTAATGGTGAATTACGTTCAATATGTCCAGCTCATGGACCACCACCAACAGCTGTTACAATTACAACACCCCTGGCGCCAATAACAAATCAAGCATCAACTGCATCAACATCTAACCCCAACAACATAATGCAGCAACAAAATACAGTTTGTTTAAATCCTTCACAATATCCGTTAACTGTAACAGCTCAATATCATGCTGCAACACAACAACACCAACAAAATCAGGCACAACTTCATCACCATCTTCAGCAACAACATCATCATCATTCGCATCATCTAACTCAGCAACAACTTCATCAGTCATCGTTGGCAAATTCACAAAATTCTCCATTACGCATAAAATCAACTGCTTCAACTCAGGCCTCAAACTCTTCATCGTCGTCCTCATCTACATCGGCAGCAGCAACGACATCTTCATCAACGGCTGCTGTAGCAACTACTTCTACACCTCCTCGTGTTGTTCTGCAATTGGATGCTGGCGTTTCATTGCCTCTACAGATTGCTGGCAAACGCAAGATATTTCGGGGTGAGTGTACTTTTTATTACGAATCATACATTTTTTTTCTGTTCAATAGTTACATTTTATTAGAGTGGTAGACATTTTGAGAATATTCACATATTATAATAGGCCTAAATCGAAAATAAATTCTTATAGACTATAGTATAGACTATAGTATAGATTTAGTCTGAACCAAATATAGTATATACTGTTCTCTTTCTTATTCTACACATAGACTATAATCTGGACTATAGTATGGACTATGGTATAGATTATAGTCCTGACGTATAGACTATAGTATATAGGACTAAAGTGTAGAGTCTACACTATAGTATGGAATATAACGTAGACTATTGTCTTTACTAATTATAGACTATAGAGGTTAGTATAGACTATATTATAGACTATAGTCATATTGACTATAGTATAGACTATAGTATAGACTATATTCTTGACTATAGTATAGACTATAGTCTTGACTATAGTCTATACTATAGTCTTGACTATAGTATAGACTATATTCATGACTATAGTATAAATTATAGTCATGATTATAGTATAGACTATAGTCTTGACTATAGAATAGACTATAGTCTTGACTATAGTATAGACTATAGTCTTGACTATAGTATAGACTATAGTCTTGACTATAGCATAGACTATAGTCTTGACTATAGTATAGACTATAGTCTTGACTATAGTATAGACTATAGTCTTGACTATAGTATAGACTATAGTCTTGACTATAGTATAGACTATAGTCTTGACTATAGTATAGACTATAGTCTTGACTATAGTATAGACTATAGTCTTGACTATAGTGTAGACTATAGTCTTGACTATAGTATAGACTTGACGATAGTATAGATTTTAATCTTTGACTGTAGTATAGACTATAGTCTTGTCTCGACTATAGTCTTGTCTTGACTATAGTCTTTGCTATAGTCTTGTCTTGACTGTAGTCTTGAGTATAGTATAGATTTTAGTCTTTACTATAGTCTTGACTATAGTACAGACTATAGTCTTGACCATAGTATAGACTATAGTCTTGACTATAGTATAGACTATTGTCTTGACTATAGTATAGACTATATTCTTGACTACAGTATAGACTATAGTCTTGACTATAGTATAGACTATAGTCTTGACTGTAGTATTGACTATAGTCTTGACTATAGTATTTACTATAGTCTTGACTATAGTATTGACTATATTATAGACTATAGTCTTGACTATAGTATAGACTATAGTCTTGACTATAGTATAGACTATAGTCTTGACTATAGTATAGACTATAGTCTTGATTATAGTCTTGACTATAGTATAGACTATAGTCTTGACCATAATATAGGCTGTAGTCTTGACCGTAGTATAGACTATAGTCTTGACCATAGTATAGACTATAGTCTTGACTATAGTATAAACTATAGTCTTGACCATAGTATAGACTATAGTCTTGACCATAGTATAGACTTTAGTCTTGACCATAGTATAGACTATAGTCTTGACCATAGTATAGACTATAGTCTTGACCATAGTATAGACTATAGTCTTGACCATAGTATAGACAATAGTCTTGGCCATAGTATAGACTATAGTCTTGACTATAGTATAGACTATAGTATTTACTATAGTATAGACTATTGTCTGGACTATAGTCTTGACTATAGTATAGACTATAGTCTTGACTATAGTCTTGGCTATAGTATAGTCTTAACTACAGTATAGAATATAGTCTTGACTTTGGTATAGAATATAGTCTTGACTATAGTATAGACTATAATGTAGACTGTAGTCAGGACTGTAATATACTATAGTTTGGACTATAATATAGACTATAGTCTTACGATCTTTACGAAATTTATTTCCTTATATAGACACCATTTGGAATTAAGGAAGATTTCTCAGATAGGTTTCTAGAATATTCACAAAAAAATTTCAGAACATCATATTTTGTTCCTATAATAGGCTGCCACCCAAAGTATGCATATTGCTTTCAACAAATATGTTACGTTTTTTTTATTAGTTCTCCATTTTTCCCATTTAACATTGGAGAAGTCTCTTTTTTAATATGCTGATAACTAAGGATAAGAAGTGAGCAATAGTAGTGATGTTAAGTTTTATAATTGGTATGTAAACTTTATGAAAACAATTGAACAAAATTCAAAGAAATTTCGGAAAAACGTTATTAGATTTCAGTGGAACTGCAATGGACGGAGCTCCTCATAAGACTCTATGATTCATGATCATATGATCATAGATTTGAAAGTTTAGTTGCCATATTTTGGACGTTTCCTTTAACCTTGTTATACATATCTTATATTTGTATACATTTCTTATTTACTCTCTATACGGTGTAGAGGATTAATCAATTCGCTTTATGTGTATATCGAATTGTGATAAAACCGTTTGATCAGCTTTATTGTTACAGCTTTTGTTAAACAAATAGAAAATGTTACATATTCAATACGATTTGTATGCAATTCCCTTTGTATTCATATTTTTTTTTCCAACACAGCTTGTAGCAATTTTACACATTCGTTTTCCATGCCAGACAGGAGAATAGTGAAACGGGGAAGGCCTCTTAATAGGCCTAATTCGAAACATTTTAGTCGTAATTGGTTTGGTTGATATTTTCTAATAAGATTTCTACAAAATTGAGAGTAAGGTTAGCACTCATTCGATGCCTAAAGTAATACCCATTTTACAAAAAGTATTTAGAACTGAAGCCAAAAAATTCTGTAAAGAATTTACATTTTAAATACAAATATATTAAGAGAGGCCTAAAGCCCCTTTTTCAGCAATCCCTGATACTTATTGTCAGTGTAAAAGTGTGTTAGTGCGTGTGTATTACGTAGATTACGGCGTCCATGCACATGCCGCCATCTTGACCACATCCTGCTGCGTATGCAGATGTCGGCTTTTTTCATATTTTCTTTTACTATATTTGTCTTTATAAGGATTCTTTTCATCTCACAGTAATATTTAGTAATGCTTTTTTTCTGTTACTCTTATTTTACATTCTGTTTTTTGATTTTTTGTTTTCATTTGTGGTTGATTTCTAGTTAAATTTTATGGCAATTGCTGGGTTTGGGTTCTGTTTGTAATACAGCAATAGTAGCTAGCATCAAATCATTCATAATAAATACATATCTTTATAGACATGTGTGTGAAATAATACGTACATACATATACATGTGTATTAGGGTAGTTCTTTTTAAAATATTTTTTTGTGCTTTTCTACCCAAAATCATTATAAATAAACAACCCACTTTACAATTTTTAAAGATTTTAGCTCAATGGGTTGCAAGCACCTATTGAAAGTTTGTCAAGGTATTATCCAAATATTACATGAATGTCAGAGTCCTTCGTGCCAAATTTTAGGATTTTAGCTCTAATATTTTCCCATATATACAAATTTGTGTACTTAATTCATATGGGAGATGCCAAGCATCACTAATAAAAGTTCGAAAACTTTTCTCCTAAATGTTCTCATCAATGTTTGATGATTCTAGCTCTAATAACTTGCGATTATAACGATTTTTATTTTTAATTTATATGCGAGATATTACGCCCCTAAAATCTCGCCAGTATATCTATTACCCAAGTGTTTACATGGATGTCAAAGTCGTTCGAGCAAAATTTTTGAATTGTACCTTTAATAGGTTCTTAGATATACCAATTTTCATATTTAATTATATGGGAGGTGCCTTTAGTTAGTTAGTGAGTTAGTTAGTGAGTTAGTTAGTTAGTTAGTTAGTTAGTTAGTTAGTTAGTTAGTATTAGTTAGTAGTTCGTTAGTAGTTTAGTTAGTTAGTTAGTTAGTTAGTTAGTTAGTTTTTTTAAGGTTAGTTAGTTAGTTAGTTAGTTAGTATTAGTTAGTTAGTTAGTTAGTTAGTTAGTTAGTTAGTTAGTTAGTTAGTTAGTTAGTTAGTTAGTAGATTAGTTAGTTAGTTAGTTAGTGTCTAGTTAGTTAGTTAGTTAGTTACTTAGTTAGTTAGTTAGTTCGTTACTTAGTTTAGTTAGTTTAGTTAGTTAGTTAGTTGTTAGTTAGTTAGTTAGTTAGTTAGTTAGTTAGTTAGTTAGTTTCGTTAGTTAGTTATTTTAGTTAGTTAGTTAAGTTAGTTAGTAGTTAGGTAGTAGTTAGTTAGTAGTTAGTTAGTTAGTTAGTTAGTTAGTTAGTTAGTTAGTTAGTTAGTTAGTAGTTAGTTAGTTAGTTAGTTAGTTAGTTAGTAGTTAGTTAGTTAGTTAGTTAGTCGTTAGTTAGTTAGTTAGTTAGTTAGTTAGTTAGTAGTTAGTTAGTTAGTTAGTTAGTTAGTTAGTTAGTTAGTTAGTTAGTTAGTTAGTTAGTTAGTTAGTTAGTTAGTAGTTAGTTAGTTAGTTAGTTAGTTAGTTAGTTAGTTAGTAGTTAGTTAGTTAGTTAGTAGTTAGTAGTTAGTTAGTTAGTTAGTTAGTTAGTTAGTTAGTTAGGTAGTTATGTTAGTTAGTTCGTTAGTAGTTAGTTAGTTAGTTAGTTAGTTAGTTAGTTAGTTAGTTAGTTAGTTAGTAGTTAGTAGTTAGTTAGTTAGTTAGTTAGTTAGTTAGTTAGTTAGTTAGTTAGTTAGTTAGTGTTAGTTAGTTAGTAGTTAGTTAGTTAGTTAGTTAGTTAGTTAGTTAGTTAGTTAGTTAGTTAGTTAGTTAGTTAGTAGTTAGTTAGTTAGTTAGTTAGTTAGTTAGTTAGTTAGTTAGTTAGTAGTTAGTGAGTTCAGTTAGTTAGTTATTTAGTAGTTAGTTAGTTAGTTAGTAGTTAGTTTAGTTAGTTAGTTAGTAGTTAGTTAGTTAGTTAGTAGTCGTTAGTTAGTTAGGAGTTAGTTAGTTATTAGTTAGTAGTTAGTTAGTTAGTTAAGTAGCTTAGTAGTTTAGTTAGTTAGTTAGTTAGTTAGTTAGTTAGTAGTTAGTTAGTTAGTTAGGTTAGTTAGTTAGTTAGTTAGTTAGTTAGTTAGTTAGTTAGTTAGTTAGTAGTTAGAGTTAGTTAGTTAGTTAGTTAG